AAGCACTGTACACCTTTGACTGCTAGTCTCACAAGATTTTGGATGAGATTTGGTGCACTACTGTGCTTCCTGCTGGAGAGAAAGCTGCATCTAAGAATCTGCAGTGCATGCACCTAAGCAATAACTTTGATATTACTTAAGATAACAAAGTAATTTTTTTTTAGCAAACAATGCTTTCTTTTGTAATATTGTTCTGCAATTGTTTTTTATTTTTTTCTAAGTAATCCATAGACAAACACTCAACAAAATTAAATATATTCTTCCTATAATTTACTTTCTTTAAAGTTACACTAAATTTAAAGTTTTGGTACAAAGCATTGCAAAGGTATTTACAAGTTAAAATAGAATAATCTGTTCTGAGTACAGTTAAAATGATCTGACATGGGTTAATTCAGATTTTGCACTTCAATAATATGACCAACAAACTTCTTCTTCCAAAGTTATGATATGAATGCCTACAAAGTCCAATTGGGGGATCAGTAGTTTGCTTTGTTTACAAATCAAAATACAGCTTTTTTTTTTCATTTGTATTTTTTTAAGCAACACTAAAAAAAAAAATGATCAAAATGAATAAAACCAAAATATTACCAGTTTGAAAAATAGAAATAAACAGCAATAACGTTAGCAGAAAAGTAATAGCTAAGAATAGAAGGGGAAAGGGAGTTTATTAGGGCTGATTAGGATGCACTATGGGGAAGATTCACTAAAACTGGAACGCTCATAATCTGATGCACCTGTGCATAGTATCCATCAGCTTCTACCTTCAGCTTGTTTAGTTAATCTTTGATATTAATACCTGTAAGCTGATTTCTCTGCAGAGCTGCACCGAGATTTGGCATGTTCCAGTTTTAGTAAATCTCCCCGTTAAATTAAATAGGGAAAAAAATGTAAAAAGAAAACAACTTGTGTCAGAAGGTCCTTTGTTTGACATCAGTGACAACAATAGCTGTTGTATAACACTGCAACTCCAAGTTGTTAAAATGACATTTGCTGGAAAATGCTGGGAGGAAGGATGAGGCAGCAGGAGAGAAAGGCAGGACATTCCACACACACATCCCATATACTTCAGTTCCATTTTTTGTGCATGTATAGAACATCCAATGTCCACAATTGTTTAAAGTGTACTTGTACGCAGGCTATTTACATTAAAGCATTTACATGGTTTTAATAAGCAGCAAAAGAGCTTTAGCACAAGCCTTCACTGACTTCTGTAGTCACAAGTACTGTAGAATAATTCATCCCTAAAGATCACAACAGAGACACTCAAGTTTCCTTCTGCTGTTACATTTTAATATAAATTTCTCCACAATGCTTTAGCTGCCAACACCAGTAAGGGCATTTATTTATGTATGTATGTATTTAAGACTGTGCTTGTCAAGAGTATGTAAATACTTTTAGCCGGAATACAAGTACACTTTGCAATCAAAGAATATCAATCAATAATCACAGAGTTAGTTTTTTTTTTCCTTTGGATGTGATTGGGTATCCAAAAGGGACACCACATCTCCTTATTAACTATGCTCAATGAACATTTTATTTGCAGTCTTTACTCCTTTAGTAATTCAACCTCACTGGCTTCAGTACTTAAATCATAAACTTGGAACTATATAGCTTATCAAAGTCTGAGAAAAGTACATTCCTGTATTTCTCCCATGACAAGTTTGCTTTAATTATTATGATTAGTATTAGAAGTTAAACACCCCACTAATCAAAAGTGCTTCTGATAAATACTAAAGTAAAAAAGGAAAAAAAATGAAATCAATGTAATATTATTATACACTCCAGTTGCATTGCACACCTCTAAAAAGTGGAGTTTACATTCTACAACCATACTACCTTCCGTCTTTTGATGCCATCAGATACATAATATTTGTTATGACCTTCATGTTTGTGCAACATGTGTTTTTAATATTTTAATTGAGTTTAATCATAAGAGGCCCTCTGGCCCATCGTCACTTTTCAAAGCTACTGTGTATACGATTAAATTAGATTGACATGCATATTTTTCTGCCATTCTGCCTAACATGTGTCAAAAGAAATTCATGTCACTGAAAGTTAAGTTAATGCTATAAGACTTAACGTCAGTATCACAATGAAGAGGAGTTCATGATGAAAGCTACTCTGTAAGCCTGGCATAAGTCCTTGACCTTAAGGATTTATCAAATGGTAAGCAATAACACACAACATTCTTGACTTTATTTTATTCTATTTTATGCATTATTGGCTTGCAGTGAACAAGTGTTACAGTTCAGTCATTTTAGAGGTGAAATAATGAAAATTATGCTTAAGAAATATTCAAAATAGTCCAACACAGAAAATAGAGTATCCACAATTTTGCACTCATGACCTTAAAGCTGATCTCATAGTAATAAAAAGACTTGCCTACTGAAAGGCCACTATTACCAATAAGTAGAGATCATAGTTGGTCGGTGTTCAGTGTTCATTTTTAGTGGCAGCAATGGACTTGCCAGTGGTGGTGGGACTCACCTGCCTTGTGGGCTGCAGTACCAGGGCTGGCCAGCGGGTGCTCTCAGCAACCAGAGGCTCACTCCTGCAATGAGCCATCACCTGAGGCTGATTACAGCAGGTGTATTTAAGGAATGGCCAGGCCTGTGATCAGGGCCTTGGTGTATGTTTCCCATGAGCCCCTGTACCTGCATCCTCTCTGCTTCCGGCCTGATCCTGATTCTGCTTTAATCCTGACTCTGCATAAACTCTGCCTGTCCTGACCTCGGCTATTCCTGACTACGCTTCCTCCTGCTCCTTGTACCTTGCCTGCCTGTTTGCTACCGACCCGGCCTGCCCGACTACGCTTAGTATTGTTCTTATTGTTATCTGTTGGAGGTTTGGTTGCGCTGTGTTTATGTTTAGTCTTGCACTGCGTTTATGTACTGTTTAGTCTTTAATAAATTGTATTGTTTATACTATACCTGGAGCCTGCGTTTCCCTGTGTCAGTCCACACATTTCTGGTCATACCCGGATCCCTAACATTTAGATTTCACATGTAGTATTAGGAGAATTGGGAAAAGGGTGCAGTTTCATAGACGATGTAAAGGACTAATATGGAGGGGGCTAAATTTTTTTTTTTGTAGTTCATCAACAACCAACCTGCTAAAGGGAAAGGCCTAAAAGATAAGTTCACATTTCCAGAAAAAATAATATATGCACATATTTTTGCAGAAAAAACATGCATTCATTATTTTTTCCTGCAGGTGCCTAGAAAGAATTGCACCTATTATCAGCTTCTTTCGACAATCCCTGCAGCTTTCTGCCTGCACCTTTATAGTCTCACCAGCACCCTTGCAGTTCATTCAGAACTACAAGCCATCAGCCGTGGTGGCTGATAGTACTTGTGGTTCATTAATTCACAGGAAACTGAATGAATGATGCAGCTGTGTGGCCGTGCTCTTTTCCAAAAGTGACAATGACTGCATGGAGAAGATCCCTCAACAGGGGTGGACTGACCATTTGGAAACTGGGGCACTGTCTGGGGTCAGTAGGGGGGCCCCATGAGATGCCTATGGTACCTTTTCATAGGCTTTTTTGAGTTTGGGCAAGGACACAGGGGCCCCATGATCTCCTATTGCTCAGGGGCCCCATGAGTTGTCAGTCCACCCCTGTCCCTCACCCATTGTCGCAAAGAGGGGAGATTGGGGTAACTGGGGGCGGGAGCTAGAACATGTTACATGTTCTACCCTAAATATGGGGGAAACATGTAACATATTCCAAAAGGTAAACTTTTCCTTTAAAATCTTAAGATTTTTATAACCATTATAGACCAATTTTATATAGTCTAATTCATTTCAAAATGAAAACCACTAATAAAAACACAAGTGAGCAAAGCTGTATATAGCAGACATGAGTTCATCCCATGAGTCTTCATCCAACTTTTAGAATCATAATCATTCACAGGGATTAGGAAAACCGTTTAGAATATCTATATGCATAAAAAGGCCAAACCATTATAATGTTTGGAAGATGATAAAGTAAATAATGGACAATTTTTAACTGACTGTGCCCTTGATAACATCTCTCAAAAATAAACAGATGAAAATAAAAAAAGTTATATTTGCATGCCCGTTTTATTAGCATGTTATAATAAAATAATGACTGCATTTAAAATGCATACTTAAATATCTTACCATCACAGGTTGGTAAAGGATGGCTCCACCAATGATTTTTTTTCACATAGCAAAGGTTCTTCATGGCTGAGTGTATAACCAGGCTGACAGCCAAAGGAAACAGTAGATCCAATAGAGAAATCATAGCCATAACGATGACCATGCACTGGTATCCCTGGATCCAAGCACGAGTGAGTATCAACTGTTACACCTACATCACAAAACCAATTAACTGTTAATCATATTAAAGAAAATATTAAGAAAAATACATATTTTTACCAAAGAAAAAAACACATAGGCTCAGCAGAAATGCAAAAATGCTTTTTTCCCCTCAGTTTACTCTAATCATTTGCCTCTCTTTGCTTACTGTTGAAGCTTAATCAATGAATTTTACAGCCCATGGGGTTAAGACAAGTGCAACAAAATAGCCTTCTTCCACCTGATTAGCGATTTTAAGTGAGCACATATTTGTTGATTGATCTTATGTGTCTTTAGTCAGAGTAGAAACCTTACAAGTAACTTGAGACACTTACCTATGTGCTATTTACCAATGAATAAAAGTACTGGGATTATGGGGTGTCCTTATATTCATTTGATTTCATGATATCCTTTTCTAGCTTACACAGTTGGACAAAGTCTTTAATTTTACATAAAATAGATCTTGTAATTAGCACATTTTAATAAATTATTTTTCTTTTGGCTCATTACACGTTTGATTGGCCATTGTAGAATTGTAGAATGTGTGGCACCATTGTTATTTAAACTGAGTTCACCCTCATCTGTATTCAAAAATCAGCATCTAGCCAATTACTGGTCAGTATACTAATGTGCATTCTACTTACTTTCATAATGAATCTTGAAACCATTATTGGATCTGCTGTTGTCTGTTGTAAAGAGCAGTAGAGGTAGTTTATGCTGCTGAATAAGAATTGTGGGACTTGTGTGCCATTATATGAACCCAAAAGTGGTGATAATAAATTTGGCCCATCGTGTACTTCCAGAACATCATAATTAAGTTCTGTTTGAAATCTGAAGAAAAAAAGATAAATGCAATTTAATTACTTATGAACTCAATCACTAATTTAATTCAACTCCATGCTTCATTCCCAAAGCAGAAACTATTTGGAATGCAACAATGCATTTTTTTTTTTTGTCAACATTTGCATTTCTGCAGCTGTTTTGAGTGCTTAAGTAGACATCTACAGATGGAAAACATTGCATGGATAAATATTATTTTCAGGCCATCAAGCAGCTTACCATTTGTGCTATATGTGGTGCACTCTGCTCCAAGAACTCTAGAGTTCCGTGGAGAGGGCATGAATGCAAAATGACCCAGTGATGCCACCCAAATGTTGCTGCTGAGAAAATCTGCCTTCAGCAAAAAGTGCCACATCTGCGTGTGCAAGCAAACATGGAAATGTCCATAAACATTCATAGACATCTGCTGCTCATAGAAGGACAAATGTTCAAAAAAGAAGACAGCAGAATGGCTAATATAGGACTGTGGAACATATTCTGTAAATTGAAATATCATAAATTGGTAAATGAAAATATCTTAAATACCCATGCATGCTTATCAATACTTGGATGATAACCTTCCACAGTCTGATTATAATAACTGAGGCTCTGCTCTTCAGTATAGCTTGGCAGACTCTCATAGGTTAAAGCTAAGATCGCACTTTACAGAGGGGCCTTCCACATATATTTTCAAATGCTGTGCAATTAAAACCTCTGTTTTTAACAAAATTGTTAGATGGTGTAGTTTGTTGTTTTTTTGTTGGCTAGCTGGTAAATGTGCCAGGAAGCACATTTTGCTTACAAAAAACCTTCCATTGTACGCCTTATTGTAAAAGCTATGTCGAAATTGGGGTAGTTTCCATTGTTGCTTAGAGATATGGCTCTCCTACACAGCAGCTGTTCTGCCAGCCCTTCTTCTCAACTGATTGGTTCTGTGATTGGGCAGGGGGAGAGAAGAGGATGGTAGTATAGCTGCAAATGATACATACAGATACTTTATAGGGCACATGTTGCTGTTGTATCAGTGTGCAAGTATGGTGATCAGTGAAACAGTAAAACAAAATCTTTACGAAATGTCTGTGACCCCCACTGTCATGCCAGGCAGGAAATTAACAAAGTTTAAAATATTGCAGCTTTCTTCAAAGAGGCAAGGATTCTTTCATTTCTTGTTCAGAGCATTTAGAGAATTATCTTAAAAGAGAAGTAGGGCTCCCCCCCCTATTTATACTTACCTAGGTGGATGCAGCATTGGTCCCCCACCAGCTCTAAGGGTGAGAACTCAGCGATCACATGACCACTGATCGCTGAGTTCTCACAGCCGCGCTGTCTGCCCTGCCCCCCAACACTCACTGGAGCACTGAGCTGTGCAGGGGGAGGGAGCTGGCTCAGGCTCTCAGTGATTTGCTGAGAGACTGAGATTTGTGCTGCTCCAGACTCTGGGGTGGATCCCAACTTTAAAGTCAGGATCTTTACCAGCCTGGACAGGCTGAGTAACATCAGCCAAAAGCAGACTTCAGTCGGCTGTCAGCTCAAAATGGGTCACAGGAGTGCAGAATGATCTGCACTCCTGTGATCCACAGGAGAAGTACAGCCAAAAAGCTTTGGCCATACTTCTCCTTTAATGATTTTTAAATATCACTTAAATGAAAGAAAAGAAAAACTGTTGCAGAAAAAAAAACACTATCAACATCAAAATAAATATGATTAAAAGGGAAATATACTTGCAAAGTTCTGGGTTTTGGTTCCTGAGTAAAACCTAATTCACTTCAGTGCAGTCTGATCTGATGTGTCAGAGTTACTGGCTCCAATGAATGATTCTAGGCACTCATACAAAGGTTCAAAAGAGTATTGAGAGCTGTCACCTTGAAGAAACTTTCACTGGATGTTCTAGAGGGTGTCACTAAGCCAATTGTCACTTAATCAAAATTCAGTGGGCACTCTTTTAATATCACTTTTTTAACTATATCAGTATTGCCAGATGATGTAACATGATGTGTGCTCTATTAGTTTCAGTGGAGTGTAAATTAGACATCTGGGGTCTTTTAGACACTTGGGGGTTTATTTACTAAAGCTGGAGAGTCCAAAATCAGACTCACTTCTGCATAGAAACCAATCAGCTTCCAGGTTTCATTGCCAAAGCTTCATTGAACAAGCTGAGGTTAGAAGCTGATTGGTTTCTATGCAGAAGGGAGTCTGATTTTGGACTCTCCAGCTTTAGTAAATAAACCCCTTGATGTCTCTTTAAAGAGAACCTGTTTCTTCAAATGCTATCACATAAGGGGCTATTGGTCTTCATGTGATAGCAATACAGTTTTAAGAATGAAAGTGACAAATTAAAAAATTAAAAAAAAAACATTTTTTAAAGCTCCCCTAGCCCCTGTAAATACATGAATCAAGTGTGGCAATTGTGCTACACATTTAATAGATCATCATGCATACAGTTGAAGTGGTTGTAAAGGGTGAAGGTTTTTTGCCTTCATACATTCTATGCATGAAGGTATAAAACATTCTGTGTGCTTCTCCCCACAGCCCCCAAAATATTCACCTGAGCCCCCTCTAAATACAGCAATCTACACAGGAGCCTCAATTGTCCTAGGTCTCTCTCACCTCATTGGCTGAGACACAGCAGAGGGAGTAATTGCCTTCCACTGCTGTCACTCACAGACATGAGGAACATGGGTGGGGCTGAGTCACATCTCTATGTGTCATTTGGATACATAAATCAGGGCTTGGAAGTGATCATGCACCAGTGCCCCCATAGCAAGTGGCTTGGTCAAGGTGGAGGTGGCAGGATCACTGGCAGGGGAATCTTAGAAAAAGAGGGGCTGCTTTGTGCAAACCTATTGCACATAGCAGGTAAATATGACTTCTTTTTTTTAAAGAACCTTGAATATCGCTTTAACTTTAACCTGTAAGGGCTTTTTAAAACATTGCCAATGAATAACATATTGGGTATCTATTTACTGGATGCAATCTAATCTTTTATGTGCAGTATTTTACCAATACAGTATATGGGTAGTAACTTGTGTTTGTGTTCAGTAAAAAAACCCATACCTAGTCACTCCTGTTATGTAGCTTAATAGCTGTACATTTGCAATGTGAAATCAGGAAAACTGCCCCTGCATGCAAGTCTTATTAGATTTGGAGTGAGGTTTGGCAATGCCACTATTGTTCTGATCAGTGTTCTTCTTTCTGGAATAGAAGCTGTTACTAAAGACAATGCCCTCTCTGCGTATGACTTATTATTTCTGTGTATCTGTGCTTGCCACACCATTCCTTCTTTTTCTTGGTCCTTATCCCACTAGTCATGAGATGATCAGTCATGAGACGGGCGATTATGACATGAGTAAGCATCACTATGATTCTCTACTTAGATGGCTGCAACCACACAAAGATGCAAAGCAGAACAAGGCATTGGAAGTCCGTAATAGGTGAAAAAAATGAGTATATGAGTATATGAAAGAGTATTTCTGCAATATTTACGTAGAAATGTAAAGAAAATCAAACCTTTCAAATGTGATTTTAATGGAGCGTCCAGGTTCTGCTTCAATCACCCATTCACAGTTCAATGAGTCTTTATAATATCCAGGCCATCCCGGAGAAAGAATGACTCCACTGGGAGATGAAAAGTGACCACCACAGGGAGCTGCCAGGGAAAAACATATATTTCATATTAGTGACTATCTTAATAGTTTGTTACAGAATATCCCAGGTGAGCACTGCTCAAATCACTATTTATCCCCTCCACCCCAAGGTGTAAAAGGTGCTGGCCATGGGAGGCCATCCTCACTCCAGCACATCACATGTTCATGCAAAGTGACTGCACACTGATGATGCCAATCCTTCAAGTAGTTTTTTCAAGTCACACAAATTTACAGACCCCACCTGTAGCCATGCCCCTCTATCACATTTCACCAGGATAGGGCTTAACCATAGAGCCTTACAATTAAACCCAATCTGGGTGAAATGTGTTAGAGAGACATGACTACAGGTGGGAACTGCCAATTTGTATGACTTGAATAAACTACTTGGAGGATGGACATCATCAGTGTGTTGGCACTTTGTATAGACTATCTTGATAGTTTTTATAACTGTATTGAAAACTGTATTGAAACTTTCTAAAACTCCTAAATTGCAGATCAGAAAAAAATACATCACGGGTTTGTTAAAAAAGAAACTATGTATTTATTTATTTATTTTTCGTGGTGTATAGTGTGGGGGCATAATATCTGTTTTCTGTTCCCTTTTTTGTCTGATGTCTCTCTCATCTCACTGGATTTCTTTGATCAATTTTTTGTATTTGCAGAATTTTAAGACAAAAAAATGGACAAATGTTCATGCTTTGCAAAGATGTACTGTATAGTTGTTTTTTTTATTCATTTTACACAGATAGATATTTTAATCTTAGAAGTTACCTTGGTCCCTACTCATTGGACAGAGATGACACAAAGACATAGACCAATCTACAGTTGTTGCCCTCTGTTATAACCACCCCCACCCTTTTCTTACTCTTTTGCAATGCCTGTTCTTTAGAGTTATAACTTTTTCTCCACATTTGCAAGTTTTCAGCATGCTGGAAATTTAACTGTATAAGAAAGGCTTATAGATTTCATTTTTTTGTGATATCTAAGAGTCATTTTCTTAAGTTTAGATTGAAATGTAACACAGTCTCTCTTTGAAATGAACACCATTTAATACCTGCCACATATATCTGAAAAGTTAAGTTTGGGCAAGAATGATTTAATGATGTGCAAAAATCTTCTGTCATTGTGCTACTTTTATAGGGAGCATGACATATTTCCGGAGTCAGAAATGTACTCAATCACAAAAGTTATAAGCTTCTACCTTCACACATGAAATATAAGCCTATTCCTGCAAAACACCAAGAATTCTAAATTTTATATCTATGATCTTTTATTATATTTTGTTACTGCCCCATATATTTTCTTTGCTTTAAATCTTGGGAGAACTTCGTGAGAATATTGACAGTTCACCAATGACAAAAACTCTTTTTGAAAACTATAATCTGATGCCCTACAATACAACGCAACTGTAAGCAACAAGCATTGTCAAAGTGTATTTTACCTTTAAGCACAACATGTTAATATACTACCGCTTACCAGCCATTAGATGTGGTGGCTGCTTTAGAAAACATTTTATTGTATTTTGTTTTCCATTTTCACTTGGTGATCCTGCAAGTATCACACTTTCTGTCCTAGGGCAACAATGCTCACTCACTGTATTGTATCTATGGAGGAGCCACCCTAGAACAGGAAGTTTGTTAGGACTCCTCTTTTCATCTCCTCTGTTTGAGATTTAAGGGCAACATTGTCAACTCACCAAAGGATATTAGACGCTCACTGGATTTTAGGAAGACCAACAGGTTTCTTTTTTGCACTTATTGAACATATATAATGACATACATTTAATGGTATATTTCACAGACAAAAAGAGAGGTTCATTGCTAAGGTTTACACTTTAACCACCACCCATAGGCCATATACAGTATATATATATATATATATATATATATATATATATATATATATGGCCTTGGGTTGAAGTGGTTATACCAGGCTGCAGCTACAGTCATGATCCTGGTATTATTATTTTTTGCTGTCAGTTCTCTACAGGGTAAAAGTGATCCAAGTGGCTATACAGCCGCCTTTACCGGGCTCTCTCTCATCCCATTAGAGAGCCCAGTATCGGTGCAACCAGTCAGGTCACATTCCCTGTGAAGAGTGGAAGGAACAGAGACACCTTCCCCTCTTCTATGATGTCAGAAACCAAAAGAGAAGAGGATTTTGTCACTTCTGGATTTGGGTTGTTTATTTACAAGCCGTTACCAGCTTGTACAGCATTTGGTAATTCCAATCTTGGTTTGATCAGATGCTTTGGAGGCCAGAGAAGAGATATGGTGTTTAATAAAACTGAGATCTCTCCAAAAAGAGGACCTGTCAAAGGCCATGCTATCACAAGGGATGTTGTTCTTAATCATTTTCTACTAAAAAAAAAAAAAAAAGTCAGCTTTTTACATGTAGTAGAGACATATCAGAATTGGCATGAAGAGTCAATTGGTTAAAAAGCAAATGTCCATTAAATGTTGTTAAACCTGAGAGTTTTTGTATTACAGTCAGATCCAGGAAGCTTTTAATAGTGATGCTGAATTTGAATGCATTCTCTTGTCATATGTTCTATGCAAGGGACTCATTGGTTTGGGTTATAAATTGCATAATATGCCACAGATCAGCCAAATTAGCATCCATATTCGGGCAAATCAAGATTTGTAAAAAAAAAGAAAAAAAAAGAAAAGATTTTTGGTTTTACAACTCTTTGCTATTAGCCCTTAGATGTAGTATTTGGATTTCACTATTACTTTCTGTCCTCTTTCACTTTTATTCAGTTTTCAGTGGGCAAGAGACTTTTGTATTGGGTAAAGAATTTTTTTTTGTTTAACAAACATTTTATTGAAAAAATGGTGCGTATACAATATAAAGAAAACAGCCCAGTTCCCTTAAAAACATGTTCCGGTTCCTCAGATGAAAGTTTAAAATGACAAAAGAGAAGAAGTAAAGACAAGAAAGGTCAAAAGGAGGGGAGGTAGGGAAAAGAAGGGATAAGAAAAAAACCCCAAAAGGTGATCCAGAACCAAATCACAGGAGTCGTCCATTGACTACTCCCATTGCCCATCCCCCAAAATTTTGGGAGGGGCAAGGGACGAGTTCCACCAAGTTCTGTTACAAAAATCTGGCAAACCTAGGGAGCAGTACATATATTTTTTTACTTGTGACAAGGGCATCTACATAGAAATAATTTACAAATATAATCTGTATTCAGCAGATATCTTGAAATCCCCCCAACAGGCCCAAGTGACATTAAAGCTAGTCATCCTATCTTGAGTAATGTGAATCAATACCTCCATCTCCTCCATGTTATTGATTCTGTGGAACCATTCCCTCATTGTGGGAATATTGACAGTTCATCAATTACAAGGTATACATTGTTTAGCAGCATTAACAATGCTCATTGCCAGGGATTTATTATATTCTCTTATAGATAGTGAAGAGTAGTGAAGCAGGTATTGCATGGGGAAAAGTCCAATATAAATGATGTAACTCTGGTAATAATGTTATGGACCCGAGTCCAGAATGGCTGTAAGCGGGTGCATGTCCACCATATATGGAGCATTGACCTCATGGCCTCTCCGCATCGCCAACAGATACAAAAAACTGAGGGATAAAATGTATGTAGCAAAGAGGGGGTATGATACCATCCAGATAGAACTTTATACTAATTTTCCTGTACAGCCACATTCTGTGTGAACCCTTGGAGGATATATGTGCAAGTGGTCCCCTGATCTTCATCAGAAAAAGATAGGTCCAAGTCTCTCATGCATGTCGTACAAGCAGAAGTTGAGAATGCTGAGGATGTGTCTTGGAGAGATGTGTATAATGTAGATACAACGTGGCATTGAGGTCGTTTGTGAGTACGAGTTTCCAGAGATATCATTGGTTCAGTGAATTTAGTGATAGGACAGTTGTGGAAGCTCAAATGGGGTCAATTTAGCATTTAAAGCATCCCTAAATAGGAGAGTACTCCCCTGAAAAAGTGCATGGCTAGAACATCTTTGTGCAGCCATCCCAAACAAAGGAGGGAAGCAGACATGCCAGGTGGAAAGGAGGAGGTTCCAGGGCTGTCATGAGACATCCCTCTGACTGGAAGGAAGGTTTGATAGAAAATGTGAAGAGACAGGCCAATAGGTAGGTACTCTTTGGCCTTAGAGGGGATCTGGGTTGGGTGCAACCATGGCAAAAGGTGAAATGATAGTAAGAGCAAAGAGTGCTCAAGAGCAACCCAATCCTTGTAGGATGTAGTAATAGTAATATATATATATAATATATGTAATAGTTGTAAAGGCCTGGGAAACCTATGTCCCCCTTATTCTTTGGTCTTGTCAGATAAGCATATTTAATCCTTGGGTGTCTATGGTACCAGATAAAGGGAGTGCACTCTCTCTTATATGTAGAAAAGAAAGAGGGATGGATCAGAATCAAAACTGTTTGTATAATGTATAAAATGCGAGGAAGAAGGGACATTTTTACTAGTGCCGCCCCCTCAAACCACAACACATTAAGGGAGTTCCAGGCTTGCATGTCTCTATGCATTTCCTCTAAAATAGCATGATGATTACAGCAGAAGAGCTCAGAGAAGTGAAGGGGTATTTGGATGCCCAGGTATGTCTCAACATCAGAGCAGCAAGAGAATGGAAAATTAGCCTGGCAGCAATCCAGCTCCACTTCCAAGAGAGTGATGTTCAGAGCCTGTGATTTGGAGTAATTAATTTTAAGATTGGAGAGAAGTCTGAATTGATCCAAGTCCCAAAGTAAGTAAATTCAGCAAGCATAAGTGGAGTTTCGTCAGGAAAAGTAGCATATCATCTGCAAAGGCAGCTATTTTGCATGTAGTGCCTTGACTTTCTATCCCATGGTTGTTAGGATTTGACTGCAGTCTATTCAGGAGTGGCTCAAGAGAGGACATATACAAGGGGAGATAAGAGTTAGCCCTGTCTCATTCCATTTTGCAGAAGGAGGGTATATGAAAGGTGACCATTAACATGACAGATTGGAGTAAAGGGCCTGAATGCCACCAAGTACCTTAGGTAAAAGGCCAATTGCACTAAAGGTTGTCGCTATGTAATCCCAGGCATGGGGTAAAGAATTTTAAATAAATGGCATTGCCATTATTACCATGATGATGCTGTCAATGCATGTGCTAATGTCACCGTGCAAAGTAGCCAAGGCCATTTTTGTTAAGCCAGGACTAACAGAATAGCACTGGTTACTATTAACAAATCTCAGTATGGTCAATTCATTAACTGCATTAGTTGCTTTATCACATGACAACAGGCACCATTGGTGCTATATACACCCTGTATAATAATAATGACAAACTTCTCATCAAAACATTCAATTCAGATACCAAAATATTGCAAAAGTGTGGGATAGTACTTTTTTCTTTTCAATAAATATTTTTCAATAGTTATTTCATTTTTTAAAGCCTTTACTTTTCATGTTTTGTTATTCAGTAATGTATGAACCTCTTCTAATCAAAATGCCCCATTTTCTGTTTCACTCAGAGCATGCTGTAGAACCCCATAGGTTAATTGTACCTAAATCCAGAAACATAAATCAAATATGTTGTTGCGCATATTTCTGTAATGTCAAAAAGTGTTATTCTTTTTTAACACATTGTGCTTTTAATTAAATTACACCAGCAAGTTCTAACCACAGTGAGTTCCTTTCTTAGAGTGACAACTCTTACTGAAATCAGTTGCAGCATTGTCATCCTTCCCTGTGCATTTTTGAGGTATATTAGAAGCAGCTATGCCCACACACAGTGCAATAGCACATTCTGCTCTAAATATTGCAATAAAACTGTGATGTCAGATGCCATTGGAACATACACACATACATAGGAATTTTATACAAAGGGTCAACAAAGGAACAAAGTAAGGGGAAAACTGTATATTTTTAACAACTAAATCTGAAATCTTGTTCTAGCGATAGTGCTCTACAAGTCACAATAATCTTTGTGAAAGCTTAGTTCCTAGCAATAAGGCAGTACTGTTTTAACATGCGTTATTTTTTTTACATTTTTACATACAAAATATCTAAAAAATGTAATTAGAATACTGCATGTGTTACACTTTGGTAAATTGACCCTATTATCATGATTATTGTTGCAGACCACAAAATACAGTTGAATCAAAAATGAACAACTGTCTTTGTCATATTATTTCCAAATAAAAAAAAGAACATGGAATCAAATCTTCTGTGCAAAAGTAAAACAATTTCATATATCGAGTTTATTTATTTTACATCCTTTCTGATTTTTCTAATTTTCTGACATCAGCATTTCTAGGAAAGTAATTTTATATCTGACAGTAATGAAGTGCTTTGGGTGAACAATTATGATAACCATGAGATAGATTCTTACAGTATACCATAGAAATGTACTGTAAGTGTCTTAGAAATTTTGCTAAAAATAAAAATGTGGATTTTTTTATAATAAACAATATTTTAATTCCAAGTATATTCATTCAAAAATGTAGTAGAATTTCTAAGGCTTCTTAACATTGACACTGGCTTCACAAATTATTACTTTGAATACTAGTCCACTATACTTTAGGTTAGGTATACAAAGACTTGTTTCAAGCTATGCACAGTTGGAACAGAAATCGGAGTTGTGCTCCTCCCCACTGCAAAGGATTTACTTACCCTCTGTAGAAAGCACTCTTGAAGTGTACACCTGCACTTGCTGAGAGCAGAAAAAAAGATCTCAGAGGAGACATATCCTATGTAGATGGTTTCTACTGAGCTTGGTAAGAGTCATACTAGGGGAAGTTTGAGCTCAGGCAGCCCTCAGACATTCCTGTAAATTTAACACAAATTGGCCCTTGCGACCCTTTACTGTTGACATGTGCACTGATGAAAGATGAATACTTATCAAGGCACAGTTTAGCCCATATATTGGTATAGTTTGCTGAATTGTAGTTTTGTTTTGGCTAGGATTCATTTTTCTTTTGCCCATAGTTATACTTACTTTTTTTTCTACTTTTGTGTCTATGTTTCAAAGAAAACCTGTTTTACAGGGAGCATGCTTTTATTAGTGCTTAAAGGGCATCATTAAAACCTGTGAAGTGGCACGTCTGTACAATTAAAAATACATATTAAACCCTTAACCTTGATGAGGGTCTGGTATGCAAGTCAAGGAGGAAATCCACTGAAAAAAAAGGAAAAAAACAGCATGGGGTTCCCCTAAATATCATACCAAACTCTTGTCAAAGCATGCAACCTGGCTTGCCAGGAAAGGGAGGACAGGAATGCACCCCTCTCCTGAATACCTCATATCAAGCTATACCTGAATCTCCTGAATACCTCATAACAAACTAGATAACCGCAACATGTTAGGGAGTCATGCAGCTGCTGGTGTCCTAACAACCAATTATATATCCCCACCTTAACATTCAGCTGTCAGCAGGGGGTTCTTGGCTGACAGGTGAATGTAAACAAAGGGGATAGTGTAAAAAAAATTGCATGGGATCCCCTCACATAAGTGTATGGATTTTGAAGTTGATCCTATGCTTTTTGTCCTTGTTGTTGTGTGGGGGTTCTCTCTTAAAACCCATACCAGGCCTGAAGGGCTTGGTATGAAATTTGAGGGGATCCATGTCATTATTCCCACACTCAATGAGTAGCATATGGTCACCAGATTTCTAACAACCAGAACTTGAGCAGAAAGCTGCCACATTTACAGCAGTAGTATTAATACTGCTGTTAAATGTTTTACTTCCCACTTCAAATGGAGGTTCAGTTTGACTTAACACCCACTCAGTTTAACCATTTCCTGCACCTCTGAACAGCCAGAATGCAGTCTGAACCAGAGTTTGGACCAAACTAGCAGCTGTTTCATACTTCTGCATATTTTTTCTATTAAGGGGGCGAGCTATAGAGAGGTAGATGATCATACACTGTAATACTTTAGCCCATTCACTAATGTATTATTTATTTATGAGGCTAATAATAGTTTATACTATCTAATTGCCATCACTGTTCACTTCAAAGAGGCTATAGCAGTTGGCATTTACATACTCTAAAGTGGAGAATCTTTATGTTTCCAGTGAACAGTAAAGAGGATTTCTCAAGAAAGCAAGAGCTAGCATTAAGAGCAAAAATAGCAGAAGATTTACTGAGCCATCATTAGATTGATGACGGCCAGCAACCAAGGGTCACAAGCGTCAGAAGTGTAATCCTGGAGTATGAGCTCTGAGATGGCCTTACTGGCAGCAATCAGTTGGATAGAGGAACTACAATGTATTAGACAGAATACTTGTTGGAAACAGACCAAGGGTCAGTTGCCACAATGTGAAAGAACTAAAGTAAGGTACCATGCAAACACAAAGTCAAATAATGAAGCAGGGTTCTGAGTAGATAGTGGTCAGAGAAAAGGAAAACCATTCAGGAAGGCAAAGTCAGCAACCAAGGTCAGTCTAGTTCAAAGGGATGTATTCACAAAAATAAGTAGCTGATTCTATAACACACAGTCTTACATAGAAATAACAGATCTTTAAAAAGGTTTTCAGCCAACAGTGGGCCAAATATAGCAAAAATGCATATACACACAACACTGAGCATAGTAGCATGTGCAAAGATGCAAGAGAGTGACCATGGCAGCTGTGAGCCTTCGCCCTCACATATTTCTCTGTAGGTCTCTAGACATTTTGGCATGTTGAAACAGTACTTTTGTGATGCCACAAACTGCCATTTTGTTTGAGTTTTGGTCATTAACCATTTGAAACTGAATTCAAGTGTTCAGGGCACCTATTTAAACATGAAAATATTTATAACTGCTAGAAAGTTGGAACAGTTGCATGTTAGGACACTGGACACCCAAGTCATCCATGTATGATCTGAATTGCAAAACTTGTATTTACAAAAGTCAGTTTTATAAACAAAGATTAAACATTTAAACATTAATTTAATTGAGTCCACACACCTTCACATTTTGGAATTGGACCACTCCACATAATTTTCCCCTCTATTAGCATGCAAGTAATGGTTTCAGTGCCCTGAGTTTTGATGAAGCCTTCTTCACAGACAACTGATACAGAACTTCCCAACTGAAAGTTGTCTCCAAAACGACGAGCGTTTAATGGAATTCCAGGATCAGGGCATTCATTATGACCAAAAGCTGTAAAACAAGAGTATAAAGATAACTGTTTATTATATGGCAATACATAGTGTCTGAGAACCATACTAAGGATATAGTAAAATATACATTTAATTAGTTCTTTAAACAATATACATTTTTGCAACCAAGATTACAGTATTACAAGAATATAGTATTTGAATTTTAAAATGTAACCATATACTCATTATAAGATAAATAAGTTATTTAGACTTATGCTAAAAAATATTTCATTGTGTATAGAGCAAAATACTATGTGATCGTATGTATCTATAAACCTATTAAAGTAGAACTAAAGGCAAAACTGTGTTTTGCATTTTGGCTAAAGCAGGGCAGGGTTATAATGCCTGACAGATTTATATTTTGCTCTCTGTGTCACATTTTGGAAGTTTCCCTTCACTTCCTGTCCCATAGGCAAACAGGAAGTGAGAGAACATTACTTGGGGACCCTAGGTCACCAGAACTAAAGTCCCTATTGGAAGATTTTCCCTCTATTACATTTCTGGGGACAACCCAAAATTAGGAATTTTCTTTACTTTTACTTTCAATGATAATGCTAAACATGACAAATAGAGAGGGTGAATCTCCTTATTGGGGGCACAGACAGCAATAAAAACCTAACAGGGGTTCTAACCCATTTCTACTCTTTCCAAAACCAAAAAAAAAAAAAATCTGCCTTTAGTTACACTTTAAATGTATTATAGATAAAAGCAGTATAGTTTTAATGACCTAAAACTCTAATAATAATAATAGTCATTATTATTATTATTATTATTCTATATGGGCTATTTTTTATGATCAAAAGCTCATTAATTAAATTAATACTTTGTCATAAACTGGCATAATCTTTGATATGTTTACTTTGTGTATTTTCATGTTATAAAACAACAATATTTTTCTAATTACAGAGAAAAGTGCATCATCAGTGTATTTTTAAAGCAGTGAATGTGACATTCATCCAACATTCACTGTAGCTGAGTCAATCACCATCATTTAAAATATATACACCAGGAAGACTTTTGGTGAATACCACAGAGCTGGTTATCTATAATCCAGTAATTTAAGTCATCATAAACTTTGTAAATTGAAAAAATGAAATTGTAATTGTGCTTAATAAAAATCCCGTTAAATGCTAAGCAAAAAAAGACAACATTGCCTAATCCAAACTGAAATGCGCACATATACACATTCTTTTTAAATTTGTAAAATTTAAAGTCACGTTAAAGGAAATATTGTAAATTTAGTAGTCTGAGATCATGCCATTGGTCTTTTCACATCTTCCGCAGTTAGTCTCAACACATAACATGTATCTTGACATTTCTCCAAGATAACATTCATTCTGCAATGTTCAATTCGATGGATATAAACATTGATTATTCTCATACCTTTAACCTAATACATTTTCTGTGTATATGTGTTGAAATCATTGCGAGCAGTACTGCATAGGCAAATGTACTCTGGCTGTGTTTCATCCTTTAATCCTATAGCAATCCACTACACTGTAAGGAAAATATTTGGTTTCTAAATGGCTTCCATATGGAATCCATGCCTAATCCATTTCATATTTTAGTATTGATAGGTAAATATACCTTGCTAAGCAGACATATTTTTCAAAAATATTTTTATTCAACAAAAGCTAGACACATGCATGCCAGCAGCAAGAACCAATATACTATCTCATCTTTAACACCCACCCAGTTAAAGCAGATCTTATGTTTATTTATGTATGTATTTTGTATCATATTACATAAAATGAAGCACAACAATTTAAAATTTGAAAATACATGGTGGGAGTTGCAAGATAAAAGAAGCCAAGGAGTAAATGAATGTGGATAGATTAACCTTTTAATGGGGTTGTAAACCTCTGAACAAATCATATCCCTCTATAGCATGTAGTTATCTCAATCCAGAGCAACAAGTGCTATTTAAATCTGCAGCTTCTTTCCTCTATCTGCATTAGTCACTACTGACAAGTTTTCCTTACACCAAGGGAAAAAAGATGATGGGGAAGGTACCTCCAGCACACATCCTGTGATTGACAGCCTTGGCTCTGTTCCTTTATGCTGTATGAGGGGGGTTTGTCCCTTCCCTTTAATCAGCTCTCAGTGAGCTCTGCAGAGACTACCTTCAGCTCCCCACCCCCTGCTTTTAAGAGCCAATATATCCTGTGTAAATTCTGCACTTTGAATGGATGTGCAACATAGATGGCTGCAGATAAACAGGTACAACTTATTTAGAAGGATTTGTTTCATCTTTGTGTATCAACTAAGGCCAGTCACTTCACTGGATATATGTAAGGGTTTACAACCACTTTAAGAAAAGTCAAAACCAAGTAATAATGTAAAACTCACACTAGCTTTAAACAGTGACTTGTGAATGCCTTCATAAATTCAGCTATCTACTGAGCATAAGTTGCCAGCAGAAGGGGTGTGATCATTCAATGAACAGGTAGTACTTGCCTGAACTTGTGAATGCACTGTACGGTCCAGAGAAATAGCATTGCTGACGTGTATACATGTAGGCAGGAAGTAGGTGCAAAGAGGCTGCATGAGTTTAACAGCACAGGGAGGTTCAGACGCACTAGTCATTAGTAGGCTGGCACTCAATAAGGAGGAAAAAAGTGACCACTAATGATGTTGTTTTTTTTGTAAAATGCTGAGCAGGTTTCCCATCCACAGAGGGGACAAATTAAGACTGAATTTCTGTTGGTGGTTTTATTAAGGGTAAGGTGTGCTTTAATCACTAAAATAATCCTCAACATTTAACTTCTTTCCCACTCTTGGTCAAAAACAGGGGTCTCCAAACTGCGACCTGTGGGCTGGATGTGGCTCTCTGCTTGTCTTTATCCAGCCCTTAGGACACTATTCCTTCCACTGATATAACGCATTATTCCTTCCACTGACACCAAAGATGGACCATTATTCCCCCCACTGAAATCAACAATGGGAAGTTTGCAAAAGCACTTGGTGCAAGCAAGTTGATTTATATCCTTTATTGTAAACTTGCACCCAGACAATGCACACAAGTATTTACATATTTACATATTCAAAATGAGCTATGAAAGCAAATCAAAACAAGACTTCATTGGCAACAGCTGCTACAGACATTGTGGAGAAGTTCACCTTCAAATTTCACAAAAGAGGCACTGAAATCTTAGGTCTTTTTTCTATTACAGCTGGATTATGGCATTCTGTCAACCTTCTAATGTAAACGAGCAGCAGGTAGTTATAAATTGCTAGAAAATTATGTAAATTATTTTAGAATCTTTGATGTGATCTTTAGGAATGAAATTAAAGTGGTATTGAATTGGAATTACATTTACCAATCATTAAATGTGGTGGCTGCATTAATTTTCTTTTGCTCTTTAATCTGGCCAGTATCACACTTCTTCTATTAAATCGGCCGTTGATGGATTAAAATTTCAGCCAGTTCAGCAGAAACTGTTTGAGATTCAATCCATCTATGGGCAGGCTGGTTGTACCGAAGTTGATTCAACTATTGACTTGGGTACAACCAGTCTGTCAGATTTTTTTTATTAGCTATTTCTTATCACAGCTATAGCAGTGATTATTGTGTTGGCAGGGAAGGCTCGCAGGCAGAACACAAAAGAGCTGCAGGAGGAATTCCCCCATCAACACTGACTGTATTGATGGAGGAATAAAGTGATTTTATTCCTGTGGTGGAAGGAAAGAAAATTGCATAATCTATGGGCTGCTTTAGAGTGCCTATACTCTGTCACATGTGTCAAACACAAGGCCCGTGGGCCAAATTTGGCCCGCCAGGCCATTCCATGTGGCACTGGTGACACAATTCTCCTGCAGCTGTGGCACCTCCCTCGTCTCCCACCTTATCTCAGTAGTTGGCAGCAGAAAGGAGAACAGAACTCCTCTGGCAAATCCTGTGCTTCTCCATGCAGCTGTGGAGAGGCTCATCTCTGCCCCCCCCCCCCATATCAGAGGTTGGCAGCAGAGAGGAGGACAGAATTCCTCCAACAGATCCTGCACCTCTCCGTATAGCTGAAGCATCCCTTAGTCTCTGCCTCCACTAGTCTCAGCATTTAGCAGATGACTCCAGCCCTCCTCTGCTCCTCCTCCAGACCCTCCCAGCTCTGCCCCCAGCTTATTCTTGGCAGCAGCACAAGGTAAAGGGGTGCAATGTGATGTAAGGGTGGGGACAAGACTTATGGTGGGACACTTGACATCTGACATAAGGGGGATGGGGAGCTCCGAACATCTAGTCTTACAGATACAACCGGCCCTTTAGGGGTAACCATAATGCTGATGTGGCCGGCAATGAAATGGAGTTTGACACCCCTGCTCTATGTCAATGATAATTGGCTTGTCTCAACCCTCTAACTGCCACTATTTCTGGACAGCTTGTTCTGTCTGTAAGTTGAAAATCAACAGTCTTACTAGCTAAAAGAAAACAAATGCAGCCATGACATCTAATAATTGGCAAGCTAAATTGGTAAGCTACTTTGGGATTTAATACCACTTTAATTCCCTGTGCAAGCAGATAGAGAGGTTAGGTAGGCATATTTTAAAGGTCTTTTACTGCTTTTTAAGAAAATAAAAATATTTTAATGTCTGTAGTCTGGGCACAGATGCACTAAATAGTATGTTTAAATGGAAGTTATTGTACCTAAAGTTCACTTTAAATATTGTCTTTGCATACTGTAACTTTCATTTTAAACAAAATGACATTTTTTTAAATGGATGAATTTCCCCCAAGTACTGATAAAGGTAAACTGAAGTTTCATATCAGTGAGCAGATGCAAATTGTGCACTTGGAGTACCCTTAGGTGGGCGAGCTGTCAGTTCTGGTTCTATTAACCAATAGATATACATAATAATACAGTCTAACTGCTGTTAATGAAACATTGCACATAACTACTTAACTTAAGTGAAAGTGATATAATTGAAAGAGAACACAGTGAAAACATTCTTATATGTTATGTAATTTCACATATCTTTAATTAAGCTGCAGGAA